AAACCAAAAAAAATTTTTCATAAAATACTTTAACAAATTTGTACCCAGTGATGTTGCTATTTAGAAACATAGACTATTCTAAGAAGCATAATGCCATTAGAATTTTAGTATCTATGCTCCAACAGAACACATTTGCAGAGTTTGCTTCTTTTAACCAATAAATTTTGAGGCATCTCTACTAAATTGTATACATAAAGAATCTAAAAAAAAAAAAGCCCTGGTTGGTATAGCTCAGTGGATTGAGCGCAGGCCTGAGAACCAAAGGATTGTGGTTCAATTCCCAGTCAGGGCACATGCCTGGGTTGCGGGCCAGTTCCCAGCAGGGGACACAGGAGAGGCAACCGTCCTTTGATGTTTTTTTCCCTCTCTCCTTCCCTTCCCATCTAAAGATAAATGAATAAAATCTTTGAAAAAAAAGAATCTAAATCATTTGTCACTATGTGTGAGTTTTCATATTTTGAATCGGATATAACACAGATGCTGAAATCCAAACTGTAATTTCCATTATGGGATTCACTGTTGCTTATAACTTACTTGATAACCAGAATTTGCTCTGTATAGTGAGAATAAAAGGTATTGTCAGAGGGTTAGGAGGGAGAAATTGGCTGCAAAGGACAAGAGGGCAATTTTTTTTTGGAGTGATGAAAGTATACATGTAAATTGGGGAATATTAACTTAATTATACCCTAGTAAGCAGATTTTTCAAATGTAAAAATATTTGCCTAAAGGACAGGGTTATTGTGGAATCACATAACTAATGAGTATAAAAGCACTTTGGAAATTATGAACTATCATACAAATGTAAGTATTAAAATAATTTTCTTTTCTTTTTAATTTTTATTGGTTGTATTGGGGCAACATTGGTTAACACAATTACATAGGTTTCACGTGTATAATTCTACAATACATCACCTGTATCCTGTATTGTGTGTTCCCCACCCCAAGGCAAGTCTCCTTCCATCACCATTTATCCCCCTTTTGCCCTCTTCTACCTCCCCCACCCCCTTTGCCTCTGGTAATCACCATAGTGTTGTCTGTGTCTGTGAGTTTTTAAAATTAACTGTTTTCTGTAATTTTGCTATGATACCTATTTTCAAGTCTTCAGAATTTGCTCAGAAAAAAATAATTTTAATTGAATACATTTTGTTGTGTCTTTTTGTACAACACAGTCTGCAAGTACAGCCAGGAATACAGATGTGGATAGGATACCTACAGTCCTGCCATTAGTTAGAGAGGTGGACTCATGTTCTGTTTATTTATTCACTTTTTCAGGGTAGTTACAAGTTTATACAGAGGTCTGATATAAAAACATCCTTTTCAGTTTTTAAGAAAAGTGAATAGTTTTTTCAGATTTGACAGTATTGATCAACAAAATAAATACTTAGTAGCAGCTTTAGAGCTTGCGTATGTTGTGTTGTATTATTACTACTGCCTCAGTTTTAAACAAATAACAGTGGAAAAGCCGCCAAAATGTTTGTGTACATTTATGTTTTATAATGAATTTAAAAATTATAGGAGTTTTAGATGGGCTTGGTATTCAACTACAGATATCAGTTATATACATCTGCCAGACTAAAAATGTATCTGTGGTTCTGCTGGTTATATCGAAAGAAAGAAATAACAGAATTGCAAAAGGTATCCATGGAAGGTATTAAGATGACCAAGAGTGATGAAAGATTTTGAGGTTAGACTAAAAATAGTGTCTATTTAATTTGAAACAACAGTGGAGAAGTGGAATGCAAATGAATTTTTCTACCAAATTACAAAAACTTAAAATTAGGGGTACTTTTCAGAGTTTGAAATAGGCAACTTGAATATAGCTATAAAGATGCTTCCTTTCATGATTGAAAATTCACAAAGTTTCACATTAGGGTACAAGACAAGACTAAAATCAGTTCAGAAAAGGAAGCAGATTTAAGGTTGTTAAATAGATTTGTTGACCTAGTGGGTCTTGTCTACTGGAAACAGGCTAACAGATGCCCTTATGCTTTCCAGCAAAGCATCCACTGGGCCCCTAAAAGCAGATTAGACTCTAGGTGGAGGTTTTGAATTCCTCTTGCTCACCCAACTCCTCTCTTAGGCTTCCCCCTCAAGCAGCCCATTTCTGTGCCCATTTACTTCAGGGTATAATATGGGGTGACTACTTCACACAGTAGCCTGAGAGTCCTTTCTTGAGGCCAGGAATTACACCTGTTTTCTCTGAAGCTCCTGCCTAGCATCTGACAAAAAGCAGTAGCAGTTCAATAAAGGTTTGGGTTATTGTCTGACCCAATAGGGTTCAAGGTTTTTTTTAACCTCCCTATGCATAAACCACACATAGCTTTGGGTTGAAGGTTCCCCCGATTTTCCTGCTGGGGCCAATTAGTGTAGTAGCTCAGGTAGGGCACAGACTTAGACAAGGAGCAAGACAAACCAGAGCTGAGTCCTGGCTCCACCGATTCTAGCTGTGACCTTCCTTGGCCTCTCTGAACCTGAGTTCCCTATTTAGAGAGGTTGGGTAAATATATCTATCTACCTTACTGCATTTTCTTGAAGATGTGCCTGGCACATAATAAATACTCAAGAATTGGGAGCTGCTATTGTGATGTTTCTTTAGTACTACATTAATTCAATGGATACCTTGTAGGTGTTATAAAATGAGTCAAATGTAGACCTGCCTTAAGGACCTCACAGCACAGAAAAGAAGAGTGAACAAGTGCACACGTAGGGTAATCCATGCTGTGTGTTGGTGGGACAAGAATTGCACAGAGCTTTGGCACTTTACAGCCAAAATTGCTTCCCAGCAGTTACACTTGCTGGCTTAGTATTGGCTAGATACTATTTTAACCCTATAGTATTAATAAACTTCCACCTAGATTATGTATCAGCATAAGCAATGCTGGCAAAAATAAAAATTGGGTAATATTTCACTAAAATAACTAAGTGAAAATAATAATTAGGTTTTCACCTGGATAATCACTTGATTTATGGCTTAAGCCTTACATGCTTAATGTAATTAAATAGTACTACAAAAAAGCAGTTGCTTATATAGCAACTTTTTTCTAGTATAGAAAACTTGGAGTGTATGAACAGGAAGAGAATGAAGTATAACTAGGAATATAAAAATACTGTTACCCTTTTGCTGTATTTCATTGTTTTTTTCTGAGTTTGTATTTTTTTTTCAATCAGGGAATATACAGTTTCTGTGGTTTTGTATTCTGCTTTCTTGAATTCTGTGTTATGAGGATTTCTCTGTTTTTAAAATTCTTTAAAAGTAATTTTCATTTGGCCACATAGTCCATTTATGAGTATTCTATAATTTATGTAATCATTCTCTAATTATTAGATTTTTTCTATTTTGTATGGTAAGTATCCATATACATAAACATTTTTTTGTATTTCCTGTTTGTCCTTAAGGTAGATTTTTATAAATGTAATTATTGGATCAAAGTGCATGAGCATTTTTAAGGATCTTTGTTCTGTGTTACCAGATTGCTTTCTGGAAAAGTGGTAACCATTTACATTGTTACCAATAAGTGCATGCAAATGGATAAAGTCCAAGACAAGAAGTAATTAGAAACAGCATAGAGTTCCAGAACAGAAAGATTCAAGATTTGTATCTTTATCCAGAGCAGCAGACCCCAACCTTTTTTGGCACCAGGGACCAGTTTCTTGGAAGACAATTTTTCTGCAGACCAGGGGGAGGGTTTGCTTGCGCAGGTGCAAGCAAAGCATCTCTAGCTCCCTGCAGCTCACCTGCTATGCAGCCCAGTTCCAGTATGGGTCCACAGCCTGGGGGTTGGGGACCCCTGATCTAAATAAAGCAAGGTTTATCAACCTCAGCACTATTGATATTTGGGGCTACATAATTCTTTCAGGTCGAAGGGGACTGTCCTGGACATTGTAGGATATTTCATAGCATCCCAGGCCTCTACCCACTAGATCACGGTAGCACAACCTGTTTCCCTACCACCCACCACCACAGTTGTGACAAAAATGACTCCAGCCATTGTGAAATGTCCACCTGGGTGGCAAAATCGCCACAGTCTGAAAACTACTGATCCAAGACAACAAGGCACTTCTTAAAATTTACCCAACATTATGGACACTAATATTCTGAAGCCTTTCCTCTCAAGGTTCTTTTCTTTCTCTGAAGTATGTATGTAGGTGTTGTCTGTAGAGTACAATAGGCTAGTCATTTCTTTAAGGCTGTGTAAGTGACTTTGTTACTACTCAGTACAGATCTTTCCCTGCTGATAGCTGTCAGGATTCCTTGCTTCTAAGAGGAAATTTAAAGAGAGTGATCACACTATTATTCGCTTTGCCCTGCAAAAATGATTTGCCCTAGTATTTAATATGGTATTCAGAAGTGTTAATCAGTGTACTTTATCCTTTGTCGTTATCTTCTGAATAAAAGGGCCCAACAGACTGAGAACAACTTGGTTCTCTTGACTTTGTATGTGGAGGAAAGAAATAGGATGGATTGGGGTTTTTGTTAAGTTTGAGCCTTAAAAATCCAAAGAGGCCTATTTTACACTGCAGGAGCTGCCAGTTGAAGGTGTTTGTCCCTCAGTTCTATAGCTGGCTTTATGGTCAGCTGTAAATGTCTATAAATCTACAGTTCTTCATGGAATGCACCTATATGAAAGGTTCACCTGTGTTATTTCTGTAACACTGCAAAACATAATGGGGTCGTGAGACCCATATTCATCTGATGTATAACTTGCTACACTGGGATCTTATCTAGTAGCTCAATTATAGTTGATGAATTTACTTAATTAGAGTAAGACAAGCCCCAATTTGCTTTGAAAAAATTAAGAGCACACATGACATTGTTAAAACTGAGAATATTCCATTTTTAAAGATATGAAATTCCATTTAAGTCTGCCCTCCACTAAAGACACTAGCCTTTAAGTTCTGTTTGTTAGCCCATTGTTCTGAAATGCAAGATTTAAATTACAAAGGTAGGTCTGACATTGACCTTCTTTACTGGCTATTTGTTTTCTGTGTGTTCCCCTTAGGAGCAGTCTCACAGGTGCTGGACAGCCTGGAAGAAATTCACGCACTTACAGACTGCAGTGAAAAGGACTTAGATTTTCTACACAGTGTTTTCCAGGATCAGCATCTTCACACACTACTAGATGTAAGTCTCTCTTTTTATTATTTTTGGGGATAAATATTTAGCATATCATTTTGCTTTACATTAATTTCTTGATGTTCACCATAACAGTCCTTTTTCAGTTGCTTTAAGTATGTGAGAAATGTGGGAAATCACCCATCACAGATTTGTAAGTAAAATAAAGTTCTGTATCATATAAAGCACAATGCAATATAGCCTAACAAGTCACAGTGAAAAAAATTGTGTGTGTGTGTATTTCTGTTAGAAGAATCCATGGATATTAGCTATGATTAGTTTTTATTGCTTTAAACATTGTTTTAAAACATTGCACCTCAAGCATGAGTATAAGAGAGAGAAAAGCAAATGAGATACTGTATAATGGACTATATCACACATTTCATATTTAATATGGCCAATTTTCATAGATTCAATTTCTTCTCCTTAAAACATAATAATATACTTCATTATTAAATACAACAGGCTCCATTAACAGCAGATTGAGATACAAAGAAAATCAGAAGCTGGCAGTTCACATCTGTCTTCATGTCAGTCCCATTTTAGTAAAATGCCTTTCTTAGAGAACTTGCTTCACTAGCAGTGAAAACGTTCTTAGTACATGTTAGTATACTAGTATGTATTAGGGTTTCATTTTTATAAGAAAAACCTTCCCTTAATAAGAGAACAACATTTGCTGTGGGGTGCCTAGAACTTTTGGTGCCAACTCTGATCCACCATATGAGGCAAAGTCAGCTAAAGCAAAATGTTTTAGAATATATTCTATAGAACATTGCTTTGGGAGACAGTAATGAGTGTTGCCATGAGAGGGAGCATATCTTAAACTTATTGGCTAATTAAGTTTGGGAAATGCTACATTCTTTATTCCCTTTGTACAGGTTTACAATGGATGTTAGTATATTAACACCTCTGAGATATCCTATAGCAAAGAAATGTGATTAAAGTCTGGGGATTGATTGTGGGGGCCGGGGCAGGGGAGAGCAATGGGGAGAATGGCAGGACAACTGTAACTGAAAAGTAATTAAAAAATAAAGAGCATAGTACAAAACTAAAAAAAGACTATTTCTAAAATTAATTTAGACATAGAACTTTAATTAACAATCCTGTCAAAATGATGAGGACTAGTTTGGGGAAAGCCAAGCTAAGAGTGTTGCATTATGTTTCAACTTCATACTACATGTAATCATAGGTATCTAACAGTGACTTCTTTTTTTTTTTATTGATTATGCCATTACATTTGCTCTATTCCCCCCTCCCTTCCCCTCCACCCTGCATACCCCTCCCCCACCATTTCCCCCTTTAGTTCATGAACATGTGTCTCAAATTCTTTAGATCCTGTATTTCCCCTACTATTCTTACCCTCCCCCCCTATCTATTTTCTATCTACTGTCTATACTACTTATTTTCTGTACCTTCTCCCCCCTTCCCCTCCTCCCACTCCCCTGTTGCTAACCCTCCCTGTGATCTTCATTTCTATGGTTCTGCTCCTGATCTAGCTATCCTCTTAGTTTGCTTTTGTTTTAGGTGTGGTTCTTAATAACTGTGAGTTTGCTGTCCTTTCACTGTTCATCTTTTTTATCTTCTTTTTCTTAGGTAAGTCCCTTTAACATTTCATATAGTAAGGGCTTGGTGATGATGAACTCCTTGAATTTGACCTTATCTGAGAAGCACTTTATCTGTCCTTCCATTCTAAATGAAAGTTTTGCTGGGTAGAGCAATCTTGGTTGTAGATCTTTGGTTTTCATGACTTGGAATACCTCTGTCCAGCCCCTTCTTGCCTGTAAGGTCTCTTTTGAGAAATCAGCTGACAGTCTGATGGGAACTCCTTTGTAGGTGACTGTCCCCTTAGCTCTTGCTGCTTCTAGGATTCTCTCCTTCATTTTAATCTTGGCTAATGTAATTATGATGTGCCTTGGTGTGTTCCTTCCCAGGTCCAACTTCCTCGGGACTCTCCGAGCTTCCTGGATCTCTCGGAAGTCTATTTCCTTTGCCAGATTGGGGAAATTCTCCTTTATTATTTGTTCAAATAATTTTTCAACTGGTGGTTGTGCCTTTCCCCCTTCTGGTACCCCTATAATTCGGATGTTGGAACGTTTAAAGATGTCCTGGAGTTTCCCAAGCCTCTCCTCATTTTTCTGAATTCTTATTTCTTCATTCCTTTCTGCTTGATCATCTTTTTCTTCTGTCTGGTGTTCTCCCTTGATTTGAGTCCCAATTTTCTTTCCATCACTATTGGTATCTTTTGTATCAGCATTCATTTCAATTAATTTAGCTTCCATATGTTTCTCTCATTTGTGACTAAAATCCACCAGTTCTGTAAGGATCTTTATAACCAGTGTTTTGAACTGTGCATCTGAAAGACTGGCTATTTCTTCATCACTTAGGTCTATCGGTTCTGGGGCTCTGAGTTGTTCTAGAGCCATTTTTGGTTTATTCGTGCTGTTTAGTGAACGGAGCGAAGCCTTAGTTGTTTACCTGAACGGGGCGACCCAGGTCGCTGGTTTGTGACGCTGTGTGTGGGGGCGGGGTCAGAGAGGGAGCAATGGCGTTCCTCTCCGCTAGCCCAGCGCATCCAGACACTCAAACGCCTCGGGCTTGCTTATCCGATCCTAATTTTGCGAGCCTGCTGCACCGCGCGGGTTTCCCTTCTCACTGGTTTCTCCGCACGTAAATGCGCGCGACTGAGCGACCCACCGCGCCTATTCCCTGTGCGCTCCGGCAGCCAGCTCGCTGGCGATCAGCCCCCGGTTGCCTGCGCGCCCCGCGCACCGCCCCGGGAATTTTTTCTTGCTAACCTGCTCTGCTTCTGGCCTCGCTCCTCGTACGGGTCCAGCCGAGTATCTAGTTGTCCTTTGGACTCCGTATTGTTGATTTTCCGTGTGGCTTGGTTGTGACTGCTGTTAAAAATAGTTGTTCTTAGATTTGGTTGTGCACAGAGGCGAGGTGGACCCTCCACCTACTTCTCCATCTTGGCGGAAGTCTAACAGTGACTTCTTTCCATAAATGTGATCAAATCAAATTAATTACCAAATTTTAAAAATTAGTTTGGCTTTTTAATATTTTATTTCTTACTTACATCACAGCCTAAAACAAGTAGATTGGGAGGGCTCTTCTTGCACATAGTCATTTAGGAATCCAGGTTTTCTCCACTGTGTGGTCCTGCCCTCCCCCAGCACTTTGGAATCTTCCACTGTATCCTTTGCATCCAGCCACCAGCTAAAAGAAAATGAAAAAATTTTCAGGGTCGAGGTTGGAAAGGGCTGTATCACTCTTGCCCATATTTCATTGGGAAGTACTAGTTGCATGCCTACCTAGCTTCAACAAAGCTGAGAAACATAGTTTTAAAATGTGGTTAGTGAAATAAGCCAGACAGAAAAAGACCAATATCACATGGTATCACTTATATGTGGAATCTTAAAAAAAAAAAATTGAACTCATGGAAACAAAACAGAATGATGGTTGCCCCTGGCTGGGGGTGGGGAAAATGGAGAGAGGTTAATAAAAGGGTACAGACTTTCAGTTATAAGATAAATAAGGTCTGAGGATCTAATGTGTAACATGGTGACTGTAGTTGATAACATTGTATTGTGTAATTGAAATTTGCTAAGAGAGTAGAACTTAAGTGTTCTCACAAGAAAAGATAAATGTGTGAGGTGATGGATGTGTTAATTAATTTAATTGTGGTAATCTTTTCACTATGTAAACATTTATCAAATCACCATGTTGTGATCTTTAAATATGTTACAACATTATTGGTCAATTATATCTCAATAAAGTGAAAAACGTGCCCAGGAAGATAAGGAAATGGTTCTTCTCTTTAGTGTATTTATCTCCAGTGACTTGGGGACATTTCAGATTAAGTCCATTTCAAATAACTATTACTTTCCTTGGGCACCAAAATCCCTAAAATTCATTCTATTTTGTGACTCACTCCCAGTTCCAATCCTCCTCCTCCCCCCTCCCCCTCCCCCTCCTCCTCCTCTTCCTTTTCCTCTTTCTCCAGTACCACCATCACCACCACTGTCATCATCACGGTCATCATTATTATGTGTGTTATTTAAATTATTGTCTGACCTCTACTTGTTGGCTCTTTAAATATATGTTATTCCCCATCATTGCTTCATATTATGCAAAAAGATTTCACAATTGTGAATTTCCCATAGAAGTCTTATCCTTTACTAGAACTAGTATGTAAGATATATGAAAGAAGCTGCAACAGAGTGTGAAGATTTAGTTTATTTCAGTGTAGTCAGTGGTGAGGTCTTTACTGAGATTTACTGACCTTTATTTTTTTATATTTTATTTATTTATTCTTAGAGAGAGGGGAAGGGAAGGAGAAAGAGAAGGAAAGAAACATCAATGTCTAGTTGCCTCTCAGGCACCCCCTACTGGGGGCACAACTTGGCTCACAACCAAAGATTGTGCCCCAACTGGGAATCAAACCAGCGACCCTTTGGTTTTGCAGACCAGTGCTCAATCCACTGATTCACACAAGCCAGGGCAGATTTACTGACCTTTAGATCAAGGACTTTTTGTCAATTAAAGGCTCAGAGAAGCTCAAATCAGTTTTCAAAGTTGTACTTTTCTCACTAATATAACAAGGTATATTAGCACCCCAAGCTTGAGACTTCAGGGGAAATGCAAGAACATTGCTAGTTTTTACAAGGAGGAGCAGAAAGTTAGGAACAGACTGAACTTTGGAGCTTAGCCAGGACACCAGTTATTGCCCAATGCTAACTTCTCAGACCTTACGAAAAACATTTATTTTGGGTAACTGCTACATTCTTGGGTAGACATTCTTACAACTTCAGAAGAGACTCAGATTTTAGTAGGAAAAAACATACTTCAACTTCTTTTGGGTGCTTATAAATTATAAACTTAAAGGTGTGTCTGTAGTATCAGCATCTGCCTTATCAATGCACCTCGATTTGAAAAGGAGCTGGTGTGCTGAAAATGACCTCTGCTCAGCAAAAACATGCCATATCTGCAGAATTTGGCAGACAAGTACT